TCGTCATTTATTCGCGAATCGTTGGACACACACGTATGTAGTGCAGAAGCTGAAATCAATTTATCTCGCTTGAGTCAACATCGACAATGCACATTCGGTGTTGTTTCTTCTCATTTCTGGTGAGAAATTGCTCATATAACAGAACGACTCACATCAAATAATATCATAGTTTATCTTCATTTCGATCCACCAACTTTCGACCACCAAATCCTTCTCGAAATGGCATCTGTCCATTCGGAGATCCCAGTCGTGATCGTTTGCTGATAAGTCATTCGTGAAACTATTTTGAAATTCAACGAGTAAATATTGACGGTGAAAAGTTGGAACAGTTGCAAATTTTTGTACCGTCTGCGCACGTTGTACGGATTGTTCCTAATTTATGCAAATATTTGATAGGGTGTCAGTGTGATACATATAACAAGCTTTTTGCCTTCATAAATATTTCTGAGTTGTTCATTGACTTCTAAATCCCGAGGCGCACTCGAAAAGTCAATTCGAAAAGCGTGTCTCGAGATTTACTACAATTAAAATATTTGTAATTAACTAAGAAATAAGATTTTCAGGAGTAGCAATTTTGGATATGGAATCAGATTATTTACTTTTATTTGATTATTCACAGTAACTTTGTCAATCATCGACTTTCCTCTACGACTTGGTGAAAGAACTTCTTTACCAAACTTTTACGACTTGAGTTATTTGGTCTGACGGGGCAATACGCACCAGATTGACACATTTTCTCTCCAAACACGATTGACATCCCTATAGTTGAGATAAAAAGACGAAATAGATTGCTGTTTGGTTTTTCCCACTGTTTTGTGATAAATAAAATTTTTAAGTTCAAATAATATCACGAAAGAAATTTGATTTTGTTGACATAAATAGTACCTAGAAAAAAATTAGAGCCATATGAGTAAATTGTCGATACATCTCCCCCATCAAGTTTTAGCGAGATTTATAGGGATTCTGTTTTTGATAGTGTTCATTAGAAAATATGTTGAAAAAGTCTAGCAACATAGATATATTTCTGTCGAATGGAACAATGAAATTTATTTTGAAACAAGTCAACATCTCAAGTTAAATGTTTGTTTTTGTTTGGTAAACACAAAATACATATTTGCTAGATTTTATACTGCAAACATAAATAGTTGTAGATATAACTTGAAATTTCACTTATTAAATAAAAGAGATTTATGTAAGTGTTTTCTTTCTACAAGTGTCTATTATAGAGCACTGAAAACTGAAACAAATCCCATCGAAAGAACCGACTCGACTGTCAAATAACAGCCGCTACGTTTTTTAGGGTAAATATAAACTTTATTGATTTTACAGCAGTCAAGCAGTGTATGTATTTTGAACGTAAAAAAGTAAACAGAAAATTCGAATTGTTTCGTGGTTTTGATTGCAGAAACGTGTAGCATATAGTTTTGGGTAAAGTTTCTCGTTTATTGTTTTGAAAACTAGAGGAAAAGTTTTTACTATTTTCTACCCAGAAAAACTTTTCTCTTTTCGCAAAGACAAAAGTCATAAACTTCCCACCATCCCCAAATTTTAATATCTTGAGAAACTATTTCAGAAAGCTGGAATGGTGATTTAAACAAAGTCACGTTTAGGGCGAAAAGTAAAACGTTTAAAGCGTGTACTCCACCGTCTCAATCAAATCACTGGGAACAGGATACACAAAGTTTGATTTGGGGAATTAATTTGTTGTAGATTTAACATAACAGTTGAACTGCATTTACGTTCCAGTATTTTTACATTTTCATTTTTTCGCCAATAATTTGATTATAACCAATCCAACTCGAATCTGTCCGAATTTAATTAATGGTTCTGTTGAACGAACAAGTTCTAATTACATGTCTTTCATTACTTATACCGATTGAATGTGTCCATTAATCATGAAAATTCAACCAGAGCAGAAAAAGTGAATTGGATTTTGATTTTTTTCAGATATACAAGAATTTTACGAACTTACCCTCCTCGATGAAACAAAGTCGGTTCAAGAAAAAACTGCAGAAACCATTCGAATTGCAAACAAATGGGAAACCAGTGATGGACCTATAGCTTCCTACACCAACAATGACGTGAGTAAATTTAAACATTCGATTTATACAATTTACAAAACACGATTGTATACACATTGCCTATGATTCAAGCGTGTTCTCTTGAATAACAATTTTATTACGGCCGCTACTCCTTCTCATAGTCTCGCAGTTTCGTTGCGAAACTGCCATGTAATGGAAATTGCTGCAAAAGGAATGTTCTCTACAAATCTCAAAGCGCAACAAGCAACAAGGATTAAACAAACGCCATGGAGAAAACAAGATGTAACAGAAATTGATGAGAGAGTATAAAAACCCACGAAAAATTTAATATGGTCGGGTTATATTTAAACATCTCAGTTGAAGATAGAACAACGTAATATCCTCTGAGCGCTTTTTAGGTGTCTGTTTTATTTTCCCAAAATAAATGTTTTAATTGCTGGAAGAGAAGCGAACTGCTTGCTGAAGTGATTACGGAAATCCGGGCAAAATGGAATGAAATTACATTATTTTATAACTTTCATATAATCAAACCGAATCGTTAAATAGCAATTCTTAGGGAATTAGTCTATTAGTTAACATGATTACGTGGAAGATGGTTTGCAGGACAAAGGGAAATAAAAACCATTAAATTCGTCGCGACGTTTCGATACTTTTATTGTATCTTCTTCAGGGGAAGAATTTTTGTTGAGTTCTTCCTTGACTGTGCCATGCCTCCTACGCTCAATCAACAACAATTCTTCGCCTGAAGAAGATACAATTAAAGTATCGAAACGTCGCGACGAATATAATGGTTTTTGCAAACCATCTTCCACGTAATCAGGTTAACATATTTCAGGGACAGGAAACACAAAATGGAGAATTTTAGTCTATTAGGCGATGTGTTGTTTTGCTTGCTTTCAATAGCGAAAAGCAGCCAATGAAAAATAGATTTATTATAGGATCTTCCTTATTGAATTTATTGACGGCAACGCTGACAAATAGACGTCGAACTTTTACCCTTAAGTAAGAAAATTTCTTAAGCGCATCTCAAACTTCATTAAACTTAAAATAACTAGATGACACCAACTTTCAATTCATCAAACTTGCAAATCAAATTATTTACTTATCAGCAGTTCGTATTTTTGCTTATCAAAACGGAAAGTGAATTAGCCAAATAGCAACTGAAATGAGAGGCAGCAACTCTAATTTGATTTTTAATTTTAACGGGTTTGCCATGCAAAAGCTCGATGTTTGCAGATTTCCTAGCCTACTCGTATATTTGTTACAAAACATTGTGACGTTTTTATTAGACCTGAGTTGTAAAGTGTATAATGTTGACATTTACTAACACCAATTTGTAGTTCTAGTTCTAGTTGCTCATTTATGTAATTAAAATTTATTTAGTTTTTGTTATATCACCATTGTTATATATTATTGCCGACCAATATTTAATTTTAAAACGACCGTAACTCGTATATCCACCTTCAAAAACACGTGAGATTTCAATAACCGATGTTGCAACGATATTCTAAAGACTGGCTAAATAAAAAAATGTCACTGTACTTGACCTTAATGTCACATTACTAATTTATGAAAAGCTTACAATTTTTAGAAAACTTGTTCTGTGTAATTTTAATTAATGACAACAATTAAAAATTGTATCGCGACATATTTATGTAATTGCACAATTTGGCAATGGAATTTGTGCATTTGGTAATTTAACTACAAATTAATTAATATTAAACGTGTTCTTTCTATTGTTTTGAGTGACACAATGCTATCAAGCTGTGGAGTTGAAATGAAAGAAAAATTTTCAAATATTTTAACCAAGTTATAACCAAGATTAACCAAGAAATAAGGGTCTTTTTTATACACGTCATCGGTATTTGCAGAATGTTTTTTTAAGCGATGGCGATTTTAAAAGAATTTTGTTTTAATAAATAATATTTTTGTTAGAACGATAAGATGAAATTACGGTGCCAACATTGTTTTGTGTTGTAATTGAGAATTTTTTATTAAGAAAATGACTCAGTATAAAAATAACTAATTTAAACCATAGTATATTTATACGGGCTTCTGAAGGATTTTGACAAAGATTATATACTTATGATCTAAAAAATTATTGATCTAGCTTTAACTCGAACTTATAATTTATAGACACCGATGATTATACACCGATCTGCTCAAGGATGTTTACTATTTTTGGTCACCTCGGTTGGGAATGAATGCTCGGTCTATCTGCTCGAATTTTAGATTTCTCAATAGTTAAAGGTTAAACATTTATTTGCTACGAGACCTAGACATCGATTTTCTATTTTTCGATTATTTTTTTAAGACAGTTTTAATTACCTGTTGTATTAAATCTCAAACAATAACCAACAGGTACAAAGAAACGTGTTTCTATAAATTCATTCCCTGTAACGATAAAATCAAGTTTTTGCACTTTTTCAAATAAATAAAATGGTTTATTATTGATTTAAAAATAGTTATTTATTGTACGAGTTTGAATGTAAATCGGAAGCGAGTGGATTTTTAATAAACCATGAGTGTAACGAGTGGTTTATCATTCACGAGGTGGAATAAAGCGTCCGATTTACACCCAAACGAGTTGAATACAACATTTTATTCTTCGAAAGACTCAACCAGACTTAAACTTGCTTTAAATCTGTTAAAAATAATCGTTTTGTATTGAGAAATGCCAAACAGTTGTCAAAACTTCCTCACACGGAAGGAAAACCGTAAATTTTGACAGTGTTGAAGAATAAAAATGATTTATTTTTTAATTTAGGCAGTCGTAGAGAAAGTTTTGTACGTAATAAAATTGCAATGACGAAGGTGTTAGTCCGAATTAGTGTAAGAGAGAAAGTATTAAATAACAATTAAATTATTTTTAATATTTACATAATATCTTTTTAAAAACCGCCACTTCACAAACTTTGCACTGATTTGAGTGATAGGTCAAATAATTGAAAATGAAAGTTGGGTCAAAACCGGATTTTTTATTAATCCATTACAATAAATAAAATAACAGTTCACTTCTTAATGGAAGACGGAGGTGGAGTATGCAAGAGGGGCATGTACTTTGGCTACGGGGGCAGCATAAGCTAAAGGAGCGTGTACTTTGGCAATGGGAGCGGCATAAGCGACAGGGGCGGCTACTCTGGCGATAGCTGGGGCAACAGCTACGGGAGCGGCAACTTTAGCGACGAGAGGTTCTTTGTGGACAACGGCGTTGAATCCGTTGATGGGGTCGGCGGTGTATTCAACGGTACGACGGGTGCCATCGGGGTCGGTGAGGGAGTAGCTACCATGGACAACATCGCCATCACGAGTTTCATGTTGGTTTTTGCTGTCTCCGGTTAAACCGTCTTGGATGTCATATCCGTAGGAGTATTGAGGATGGGGGTCGTATTCGTCGGAAACGGCGACGGGAGCGGCATGAGCTACAGCAACTGGGGCGGCGTGAGCGACAACGGGAGCAGCATGGGCTACGGCGACTGGGGCGGCAAAACGGGCAATTGGGGCGGCGAAGGCATGGGCACCGTAGTTGATGGGGGCGTGAGAGAGGGTGGCTGGGGCACTGACGATGCCGGCGCTAGCGTAAGCGAACAAAGCGCTAAGGACTACAAGCTAGAAGAAAGAGAAAATGTTAAGTGAATGGTAATTTAGAAAAAAATTAAGGTTATACCTTGAATGCCATTGTTGCTCGTTGATAGTCAACTGAGTTGTGCTGATTATTCCGATGTTTTCTCGAGTTTTTATACTGGGGTAAGCGTTTGAAATTGCGCGGGTGAGTTTCGAAATTACCACACCTTGATTAAGGTTAAGTTGTTCAAGTACAGGTTCTTCATATCAGCAGCCAGTTTGAGAGCAGAGAAATGGGTGATCGGGTTTTTGAAACTGATGATAAACAATTATTATTAAAAATATTTTTTTACACCGACTTTTTTGCAATACAGATGCAAGATATATACAGTATGTCCCCGGATTGAGTTTACAAGAAGAAAAAAAAATCTTTGATTTTACGCCAAAATCGCAAAGGTAAAACATTTTTTGCTTTACCTGATACGAGCAAATAATAATGAAAACTTTATTATTCCGAGTCAAGAAAAGTTTTTTTTTTTTTATTTCGGACTTATTATTTTTTTCTTCGTTTTAAATCTAATCACATTTTCAGTTTTATTTTTTGACAAAGATGTCATTTTAATAAATGAATTTACGTAAATTAAATAACAAAAATGTTTGTGTGAAAAATAAAATTTTAATAAATGGCAACTCACAAAACAACTTTAAGATAAAAAACAATCATTTTTAACAATTAATTGTCAAAGTGAATTCGTCAAAAAATAAATCCGCCAATGTGATGATACTTGGAAAAGCAGAGAAAAATTTTTAAGAGTCCAAAATCAAGAGAAAAATGAATTTATCTTTCTACTAAAACAGATTAATTAATTACAGATTTTCTCGTTTCCGGTTAAGCTATTCTTTTGAAGTTTTGGCGTAAAATCAAAAAAATTTTTTTTTTCTATTGTAAACTTAATCCTAGGACATACTGTAGAATAGAAGAAATATAGTAATCAAATAGTGTTTTTAAAAGCTTTTCCTTGACGCAAAACACAAAAATGTTAATTTTTATATTCAACTGTAAACAACGCTTAGTAATAATTTTTATGCACTATATTGTAGAGTCTTAAATTGATGGTTCCAATGAGCCTTAATCAAGTTTCTCTACGCTTTTGTGTTTACTATACCTACTTTATATTTTGCTACATACTTGTATTAAATTAAATAATTTTTTAAATAAATTTATTCGCAATTATATTGTAATCTGTCATGGCATGGCAACAGCTGGGATCTAGATGATTACTGAAACTAACCTGGAATAATGAAACTAGCCGAGAATAATTATTACATACCCCGAAAATATTACACACCTGGAGAATGGCTTGCATAACATTGATGAGCCCTGCTATCATTACAATTAGTTAGATAATGTGTTCTTCTTCTTCTTTATTTACCAACATGGCCATTTATAATATTCAGAAACTATATAAAAAAGGATTAGGAGTCTTTTAATGGAATTGTCATTTTGACAGTATTATAATTTTTATATTGTTATTGTCCGCTTACGTTGACTTGCTCGTAAATGTGTTAGATCCCCATCTAATTATTCAGAATTTATATTAAATTGAATTTTAACATTGGATAATTGCAAATGAAATAGTATACAAATCTCGAAGAAATGCTTCATTTATATCGAGCTTCCCTCTCGAACATTTAACCAACGCTCGGCTGTAATGAAGCTCTTCCTTGTTCGGTTTGTAATATACTATTATTCACAATCACTTATGTAATATGCAGATTACTAAACTTTTAAAGGTTGGGAAACACATAATTAAATTCCGTGAACAGTAATATCATTTTATCTCTTGGGCGGAATATACAGGTTTGCCAACGTTAAGATTACAAAAATATCGGAAATTTTTTCTTTCAAATTGTCAAGTTACGCATAATATTTTACTAGATTACTATTACTATTCTTGTTGGTCCATGAAAATGAAATTAAAGAAGACGGATTAAAAAGCAAAAATCTCTAAGTACACGTTTTTATTTTAAATTGAAATAAGAGATCCTAATTAAACATAAAAAAAAAATACAAATTAACTCACAAAAGTAACAAAAAATAAAATAAATTTTTAATACTTTTTATTGTTACAAATTTAAACAGGAGATGAATATTCATTTTTAAAACAAAAATTTTCTATGAACATACAGGGTGATTCTTAAATAGACCGACAAAAATTTATCCTTGGTAGTATCAAATGAGAACATGCTGGATAAAATATTTAAAAAATTCTTTGTTTAACCGTTCTCCAAATAAAATTTATTAAAGTTATTTTCGAGGTAAAGCGTACGCCACTGATGTGTTCGTAAATAGTATTAGCACGGGTAGTGGAAACCATGGTATTAATTTGATCAAAATGTACTTGATCATTGCAACAATTCATAAACGCCGTAAGTGGCACGGATCAAGAGGGTTTTGCCCCTACAAAATATAAACGTAAAAAGGGTACAGTTTGTCTCCATTTATACTAGGGAAGCTGTGATAAAATTTTGTCGGTCTATTTAAGAATCACCCTGTATATCGAAAAATGCTACGCAAGGGGTGCGTCTTTTAATAGGTTTTTTTTCAATATTTCCGAAATCATTTTAGAAAAAAATTTCAAAATTTGCTACAGATGATAACTTTTATACACCTAAACAAGTACAAAAATAAAATGTTGAAATTTTTAATTAGGTGCTTCCTAAACTAGATGGGATTAGGGTAAAAATTTACTCTAACTATTTTGCCTGTGGTTTCTTGCCACTTTCAGCAACAAAATTTCATAGTTTTTCATAAAAAAAAGGTCTTTTGTGTTTTTCCGATACAATTTACGGATTTTTAGTAAAAATCGGTTCAAAAATTTATGTTACAGACCATAAACAGCATAAAAATTAAAAATTAAATTTGTTTTACCGTTTAGGACGCCCCTAATTAAAAATTTTGTTATTTGGCATTTGTTTGGGTGTACATTATAAAGGTACCAAATTTTGTAATTTTATCTATTCTGAAATATTAGGAAAAACCCTTTAAAAAACGTACCTTTTTTAGGGGGTGTAGCTGCTTTTCATAGCATTTTTCAAAACACTTTTATCTTAAAATTAAATATTTCATTAACTATTTAAATTTGTACCTAACAATAAGAATGAAACACTGTATAATTAACACATGAAAAATTTATTCACAAAAATTTAAAATTAACTCATTAAAATAACAAAAAAAACTAAATTTTTAACACTTATAACACTATATAACAAAGTGCTCATCATTTCGGGGGGGAACCCCCTAAACCCCCCCCCCCCTTGGGTACGGCCCTGATTCACGAGGAATAATGAGCCTGACCAAATTCTCGATGCAACCACCATTACTTTTCGCAAGTTATTTTGCGACAACTGTAATGTTGGTTGCATCGAAAATTTGGTCAGGCTCATTATTCTTCGTGAATCACCCTGTATTTATCAATATCTCTGAAAAGAAGTTTTTTTATTTGCTGAATAGTTTAATTTAAATTTACTGTTATAGAATCCCGATCCTGGCCATAATGAAATTCCCAAATCAGAAGCGAATACGAGTCTACACTGCGGTCAATCAAAGCTCTCTTGTAATTACACTCTTATTTTACTGGATAAGCTTACGGTCAGAAGTTAACACAAAAGCCATGTTTCTAGAAGATAAGAGCAAAGTGCCACACTTTTTAACATTATTTATCAAACAAAAGCATTTTTAATGATCTCTCAAAAGTAATAGGGAAGGTTAGATACCAAATTGAAAAGTATTTCATTTCTGTTGAAATTTTTGAAAGTTTATCGAAACGTTTAATTAATTTGATCGTAAATTCAGGTCCTCGCCAATGTGTTCGCACGTATGTACATACACTGGTGGACAATAAAATTGCGTACTTATACAGTTTTTTTACTGGATTATGTGACCATTAGCATGACATAAACCTTGTCAGTATCAATAAGGAGAAATTCCAAAACTTACTCAAAACAAAAAATATTTATACTGTCTAAACTGTAGAAGGGCTATAGCCACTTTCCGGCAACAAAGCAATTGCAGACTAACAGAATTTAACCAAAAACACAATTTTAAGAGTGAAGAAAAGATGGAAACAAGAATGGAATATAACCTCTTTTCTAAAAATTACTCTGATACTTCAAAAAAGACAAATTCACACAGTGAAAAAGTATGTTACTTGATTTTTACAATAGGTACTTTAAAATGAGGATTACCTATGCATAAATAGAAAACATTTTGATGGGTTTTTATTTTTATTGAATATTTTTAATAAATTACTATTTACAATAACAAATTTAACCGAGGAAAGGAGCGGCATGTACTTTGGCAACGGGGGCAGCATAGGCCAAAGGAGCGGCTACTTTGGCAACGGGAGCGGCATAAGCGACTGGGGCGGCTACTCTGGCGACGGGGGCGGCATAAGCAACTGGAGCGGCGACTTTAGCGACAAGGGGTTCTTTGTGGACAACAGCATTGAATCCATTGATGGGGTCAGCGGTGTATTCAACAGTACGGCGAGTACCATCGGGGTCGGTGAGGGAGTAGCTGCCCTGGACAACATCACCATCACGGGTTTCTTGTTGGTTTTTGCTGTCTCCGGTTAAACCGTCTTGGATGTCGTATCCGTAAGAGTATTGTGGATGGGGGTCATATTCGTCAGAAACGGCGACGGGAGCGGCGTGAGCTACGGCAACGGGAGCAGCGTGGGCTACGGCAACAGGGGCGGCATAACGAGCAACGGGGGCGGCGTAACGGGCAATGGGGGCGGCGTAACGGGCAATGGGGGCAATGGGAGCAGCGTAAGCACGGGCAATGGGAGCAGCGTAAGCACGGGCAATGGGAGCAGCGTAAGTATGGGCTACGGGAGCGGCGTAAGTATGGGCTACGGGAGCGGCGTAGGAAATGGGAGCGGCAGCGAGGGTGGCTGGGGCGCTTACAATACCGGCACTAGCGTAAGCGAACAAAGCGCTGAGAGCGACGAACTATCCAAAAGAGAAAATTTATTAATATGGTCATTTTTCGAGTTTATGATATGGTTTACCTTGTAAGCCATTGCTGCTGTTTAGAGATGTTCGACTGAATTGTGTTGATAAAGGTTTTGCACGCGCTTTTATAGTGGGTTTTTACCACCCGATTTTTGAAACTGGCAAAATGCAGGGAATTGCGCGGGTTAATTTCACAATGACCACGCCTTGGATAAGGTTAAAGCGGCAGTTCGCAAATATTAGCAACTTCAAAAACTAGTCATACAAGTCGTATTTAAAACATAACTGCAATACTTACACAAAATTATTGGGTTACATATAAAGGCATATTGTGGGAATAAACGCGCTTATTGCCAAAAATAACTAAATAAATAACTGCCAAAAATGGTCTAAATGTGTTTTCACCAAGAAATTATTTCTAAAACAGTATCTATTTTGGGACAAGTTGATTAAAACTTAACATGTATCTAGTTTTATGCGTTTCAAATTTTATAGGGTTATGCATTTTAAGGAAACGCAACAGTAGTGCACTTGTTGCATTATTAAAATTCTACTGCGTCATTTGATTGAAAATCATTTCGTAGAAAAGTTAAACGATGAAACATTCAGTCTATTACAAAACTGAATGTATATGTACATTCTTACGTTCCATGAATTATTTATTGTACATAATACTTAAGCTGATACAAATATAATTGGATCATCGGATTGACCTACATTTTGCAAGGTTCCTTTGACACAATATTTAAAAGTCAATCACCTGATATTTAATTTTATTAAACGGTCAAAAAATTAAGTTCATTGCTACTACTACATTTACGTTTCTGATGAAACAAATGTTTCAGTTGCAAACTAAAGCACAAAACTTTTATTTATGTTACAAACAGTGCAGAAAACTGTTATTTCCTCATTGGAATATTTTTGTAACACATAACATTTTGAATTATAAAATTCAACAAAATTACTGTCATTAGATAGGAATAAGATATTGTTGGTCTATAATTATTCACTTGAAAGTGAATAAAAACATGACTTGTGTTTGGATCAAAGAGATTTATGAAATACAGTGGAGTGTGGAACCATTATTTATATAGTTTTGGAATAGGAAGGATTTATTTCAGCGACCTTAAAAAATATTCTGATTTTTTTATTTTTTTATGTTCGTCCTTTCCATATCTTAATGTGATTTATTGGGTGGAGTCAGTTGTTGTCCTTTATTTTCCTACATAATTTTTATTTTACATATTGGTATCCGCAAGACCAGTTGTGTCGAAAATCCTTAAACTTTTGATTGTTTAAAAATTCTTTAAGATAATTATTCATATCCTGACTTAAGTGGTTTGAATTTTATGGATCAATTTTTTTTGCTGAAGGCCAGCCTCACTTACCAAATCGCACAATTCCGCAAAAGAGCATTAAACTAACCGGGTTAATTTTGATATAAATACAAATTTTGTGCTCTGATCGTCATTCGTTCGATTGCATCTCGACAATGGCTTTCAAATACGTCCTCTTGGCTGCTTTGGTCGCCGTCGCCCACGCTGGTAACCCTCAATACACCTTCGGTTATGGTGTTTCGGACCCCTTGACCGGAGACGTCAAGAGCCAAGTTGAAAGCCGAAGCGGAGACATTGTACAAGGACAATACTCTCTTTTGGACTCTGATGGAACCCGGCGTGTTGTCGACTACGCCGCCGACGGTATCAATGGATTCAACGCTGTTGTTCGCAAGGAAGCCGCCGCTGTCGCCGTCGCCGCCTCTGCTGTAGCTCCAGTTCTCCGTGCCGCTCCTGCCATCGCCGCAGCTCCCGTTCTCCGTGCCGCTGCTCCAGCTATCGCCACCACTCACGCTTACGCCGCTCCTGCTGTAGCCACCGCTCCTCTTCTCCGTGCCGCCCCAGCCATCGCCGCCACTCACGCTTACGCCGCTCCCGCTCTGGCCGCTGCTCCTCTTCTTCGTGCCGCTCCAGCCTTCGCCACCTCTCACGCTTACGCCGCTCCCGCTGTAGCCGCTGCTCCTCTTCTTCGTGCTGCCCCAGCTATTGCTACCACCCACGGTATTGCCGCTCCAGCTATTGCCACTTCCGTTGTCCGTTCCGCCCCAGCCCTTGTACATGGTGCCGCTTATGCCGCCGGTGCCCATGTTATCAGTGCCCCCATCGCTGCTCGTTATGCCGCCTGGTAAATTGTGAAGATGTTTTCGAGTTTATATTTATTGTAAATAATATTTTCTTCAAGGAAAATTGTACATAAATATACAAAATTAATATAAAACTTTCAATGTCTTTTCTTCTAAAGAGGTTATAATGCTAAAAAGCAAAAAAGTCAGCAGTTATTTTGATAAGAAATACAAGTAGGCATTATTTAAAATAAGTAAATATTCAACAAGAAATATACATAAAACCAAAATATCTCAACGAACATCACTTTGTTATGTTTAGTAAATCAACGTTATTATTAAAATTTGAGTATAAACTTTTGTTCAAGTTTTGAAAATGTAAATTTTGCAGAGGGTTTAATTGAAATTTTATTTAACTTTTAAAAAGATTATTAATTAGGTAAACTTGCTCTCAAATTTTCAATATGCATATGTAAGTATGTATATTGAAAATTTAAAAGCACTTTACTTTTGTTTGCAGAGATAACATAAATTTTTATTGAGAGCTTTTGTTTTTTATTCTGAATTCATAATTTAACGTACATAACTTTTAAATAAATAAGTTGTTTCCTTTGAACTAAAAAATGATTTTTATACGTTGTGTAAGGCTGTTACGACATTATTACATCCGAGGTTTGTTCAAGATTTTATCGGTTTCTGTCGAATAAGCCAAAAATTGGAACAAATTAAATCCAAAAATTCTAGGATGTAATGACAGCTGCAGATGTCAGTTTGAAATCCGAGCGAGTTTACAATTTTACAATATCGATATGTCAGTAAAAATGAGATATCGCTATTGTAAAATTGACATTTCAATATTGTAAAATTTTACAGCAATCATTAAGATTATGCCATAGTTACCAGACTATTTTTGTGCATCTAACATTGTTTTTAACAGACAGAAACCGATAAAAAAATGAAACAAACCGTATGTTGGTTACAATTCAAATTCGAAACATGTTGAATTTTTTGAAAATGATAAATGTTTTTGCATCATAAACAATTTAATAGAAACTGATTATAACTCTGTTCAACTTTGTTTCGAAACCGATTTGCCAAAAGTGCTGGCACATTTTACATAAACTGGATTTTTCAACCTAATTCATTGGCAAATTATGCAAAGTTCTAATTATCATGAATAGACTATTTATGAAATTAATTTTATTTTGCCCAATGAGGGATCAACGAAAAGTAAGTTCTCAATTAATTTCTAACATTAGCACCCAGTACGCTTATTATTGACAAATGAAAATTGGTCCTGGTTTATTTGATGCTAACGTAATTAATGAAGTAATAGGTACCATTTCAATTTATTTTATTGAATGATGTAAAAGTGTGTAGTTATTTCTGGAATTTTCGAATATTGTGGAATTTTCGAACCGGCCCGAGTTTTAATTTGTTTTTGCATTCTGCGATGAAAAACACACTAAATCAAACGCTACGAGAAAATCGAATCGGTAGAAGCCAGACAAGGAAATTTAAATTGCACTACGTGAAATGTCCTCGAACGACTGTTTTCACAGATCGCAAACTATGCCACGCGTAAAAATCCGCGAGACAAAATGCGTAGCAACACCACTTATCTTAAGAAGAAATTGCTTTCACTTTCGTTAGGCGTGACGACCTAGTTGCTTTTCACATTGACATTGATCTCAATACGAAGAAATGCGACTTATTAGATAATATGACTTTTATTAAACTTCAATAAATTAATTTATACTAAAACATAGCAGTCGACTTAGTGGTAGTATTTGGCTACGGGGGCAGCATAGGCCAAAGGAGCGGCTACTTTAGCTACAGGGGCGGCGTAAGCCAAGGGGGCGGCTACTTTAGCGATAGCTGGGGCAACAACAGCCTTAGCTACGAGGGGTTCTTTGTGGACAACAGCGTTGAATCCGTTGATGGGGTCAGCGGTGTATTCAACGGTACGGCGGGTGCCATCGGGGTCGGTGAGGGAGTAGCTGCCGTGGACAACATCACCATCACGGGTTTCTTGTTGGTTTTTGCTGTCTCCGGTTAAACCGTCTTGGATGTCGTATCCGTAGGAGTATTGTGGATGGGGGTCGTAATCGTCGCCGACAACAGTCTTGGCGACGGCGACGGGGGCAGCATGAGCCACAACTGGAGCATGAGCATAGGCCACAGGGGCGGCATAGCGGGCTACGGGGGCAGCGTAGCCTAAGGGGGCGGCGACGGGGGCACCAATGAGCCCAGCACGGGCAACGGCGATAACAGCGGTGAAGGCGACAAGCTGTAATCAATTGCAATTAAAAATAATTATAAAATTACTCTATTTAGCTACCTTGAATGCCATCTCGGTAACTGGTCTTGACAAATGATGCTTGAATTTTAACTTGATCGAGCTTTTATACTCGTAGTATGTTGTAACTAGAACACTTTTCGACCGGCACCGCCCTTGTTGAAGGTTACCATCTTTTATTGAACAGATATTTTTTTGTGTGTCCTCACGTGCTTTTTCGACAAGTATCGTAAAACACTCTCCACCTTGCGAATGTAATTCGTGTTCTAAATTAGGGCATTTTTTAATGGATCGAAAAGACGGGGTTTTGCGAGATTAGCTTGGAGATAATTTTCTCAAAGGACAAAGACAAATTGTAATAAAAACGCGAGTTTCAGAATATCTCATTTTTATATAAAATTCTGCACACAAATCCAACGCATACCCAGTCTCTACTTTTATAAAAAAAAAAGTTAGTCAGAAATTTTGTACAAAAAAGTTGATTTTCGTATTTTACGTAAAACACTGATGTATTTCGTTTTATTTTTTTCTAATTTTGATTTGCTTAAACAATTTTTTATATCAAAGCAAATCAATATGATTTGACATATTTTTAAATGTTATATCAAGATTTTTAATATTCAGATGATGTATATGCTTGCTTCAGTGTTGATCTTTCAGCAAATATAATATTAATATTACAGTGATGGACAATGAATTTCGTCCACCCAATTTCTGTGAATTCACAAAAATTCACTGTAGTCTGTACTTTATTGTCATGATAACTGACATTCAAATACGTATTGTCAAATTTAATCAAATTCCAACATGCCAGCAGTAAGTGCGTTTAAAATAAAATAAAAATTATCCCTCTGGTACAAGAAGGTATGTCTCAAAGACGTGTCTCCATATTTTTGGGCATACCAAGGACTACCATTTCAAAGGACAAAGGTTAAAAGTAGCAAGAATTATCGAGCATTCTGTCAACATGACAAACGTTAATCAAAATTCTGAAACAAGGTTAAGAAAACTTAAAGACTAATTTACACTTTTAATCTGTCAGGGAAATTGGGTGGACGAAATTCACTGTCCATCACTGTACTAAATGTTTGTATTTAAATCTCACTTATATTTTATTTAAATGTGTATGAATATTTAAAGAATACTCAAAGACAACTATCATACAATAATTTACAGTTATGTGTCATGTTAGTATCATATTTCACAATAAAATTTACAGAGGAATTCGGTAACATTATAAACACCTTTTTTGTTAAACACACTGAACTGTAACTGTTATTACGTATCACAAAATCTAATAATAAACTGTAGGTTTCAGCATTAGCTAAAACCGTTGTTATCTAAAAGTATTAATAATTTTATTGTCCCAATATTTTCATTTCACACATTGTTATAGAGCTACATTACATGAACTAATAATTATTATCCACGACAGATAAACCTGTGTTCACGAACAGCTGTAAATTAGAGATATTGTTATTATATCTATATAGTAATGACTATGCGTACTAACTGGACAAAGGACTAAAGTAATGGAAAATAAGGGTTAAAACATTCAGCCAACAACATTTAACCGAGATTTCAAAATTAGAATTTATATTTACTTTTTAAAAAACGGGGGCAATGAAAGTACAAAATCTAGATGAATTGTTTAAATAATCATAAAATATTTGCTTGCATGTTACACATTTTTTGTAAAATGAAATTTATTGTTCAACTGACATTTTTCAGTGCGTTGCCTACCAAAATTATGCAGTAATTAAAATGTGTAATGTACGGTCACAAATCATGCTTACAGTCTTGGTGTTTTCTCTAGGTTACTTTAATTATGAAATCATACAAATTTTATATTATATTTTATAGAAGATTATTTAATTTATTTATTTTTGTTTAATTTTAGGGTATTTTGGGGAAAAAAATGCGAGAATATATTTTCTTTTTTTACTTAAGAAATAAGAAAGGCTATGTACAGGAAAGAATAAGTTAAGTTGTATCTATCTTAGTGATGGATAAGAGCTGGGGCGGCGTAAGCCACAGGGGCGGCTACTTTAGCGACAGCTGGGGCAACGACGGCTTTGGCTACGAGAGGTTCTTTGTGGACAACAGCGTTGAATCCGTTAATGGGGTCAGCGGTGTATTCAACAGTACGTCTGGTGCCATCAGGGTCGGTGAGGGAGTAACTGCCGTGAACAACATCTCCATCACGAGATTCTTGTTGGTTTTTACTATCGCCGGTTAAACCGTCTTGGATATCGTATCCGTAGGAATATTGTGGATGAGGGTCGTAGTCGTCGGCGACAACAGTCTTGGCGACGGCGACGGGGGCAGCTTGAGCTAAAACTGGGGCGGCGTGAGCCACAACTGGAGCATGAGCATAGGCCACAGGGGCGGCATAGCGGGCTACGGGGGCAGCATGAGCATAAGCAAGAGGGGCTGCAACAGCAGGAGCACCGATGACACCAGCACGAGCAGCGGCGATCAAAGCAGCGAAAACTACGAACTGAAATGGGAAAATTATTCAATTGCATTTTCAAATCACTGGTTTCGATCCTACCTTAAATGCCATGGTGGAAGAGTTGAATGATGAGATTGGGTTGTTTGCGGGTTTTTATATTCAATTTGAACCGAAAAACCGGAGTATTGCCAAACATACGGACCGACCTTGTCTGGTATAACTTGTATCACCAAGTCACTTTCGTTTAGGTTGCAATTTGTCTATTAACATCTGATATTGTTTCGCTTAAAGAGGAACCTGATCGGGGGTATTTCGGTTACGATATCTGCTTGTTTTCATATTATTCTTTATTAAACTCAAATGTTTTAAAGAAGTGTTAAATATGGAAAAAATGTTATCTATTGTGTAAAAAATACACAACCTAGCACAAATTTGATTTTTCAACTAAACAATGTACTTAGTCGTTGTTATAAAGGGTCAAAATTTTATGACGCTCCGAACGGTTCGCCGAACATAAAAAAAGATACAGCCTTACATTGCACGATACATTACATGTTACATTACAGTAGTGTGTACCCGGCTTTTATACATAGAATAAAAATCTGACTAGATAATAATAATAATAAGTCAAAAGACCAGTCTTGAAGCACAAATTCAAATTTAAAAACGAGTGGCGTAGCTCGCTTGTCGTGTCCTAAACACGACGAAATACTTCTTATAAAACTAGTATCATAATATACTATTATCTGCGACTGTTAAATAATAATGTTGTTATAAGCGTATCCATATGGACACATAATTTTGTGTATAGTACACTCCGTGGAATATGATTTTATATCGCATGATCATGACCCTTTATATTCCACGAGTGGAATATAATATTATATTTCACGACTTCTCCCTGAGTGGCCTACTGTTTGAACACAATTTGACATTTTTATTATAACGTCAACTTTGTTAATACCAAAAATCGAAAATATTTTATAGTCGTAGATAGTATTCTACTAGCATATAATGACTATTTGTCACTAATCACTCAGGTGATTAAAAAACTCATCTACGACTCGTGAATATTAGCCATCATTATTTGCTTGTTGAATAATATACTATTTTTTAAAGAAAAATCAATTTAAAAAAATGTGTCAAGTAATAAAGAATAAATTAAATATCAACATTCTGCTGTTAGGAAACTAATAAAAGATTCGGTAAAAGCCATTGTGGTCTTATGATCTGTTTACGAGTTTTTCTTCTGAAATATCAAAAGAAAAGTCGAAGCGAAACTTGAGTTGCTGGAAATGTTATCAAACAAAAAGTGTACAATACCACCGTCATCTATCTTGTGATATTTGGTTCAACAAATTTTGAATTAAACATGTTATGGACTTATGGAAGTTTTTCTTGCAAAAACATGTTTTATTTATTATTACAGTCCAGACTGCAAGCGCAACAGCGACAATAGCACTAAATCCACACGTTACAACTTCAGGTTAACGATCTGTTGTAAATTGTTGATGTATTTACGATTTTCAATCCAACAGTTTTTACTACCACAGGTACTTCCAGGAAAAATCAATCAAATATTGTGACCAATAAATCACATTCAAGCTTTACAATTTTATTAAATAAATAAATAATTTACATTTATTACAAACTCAGTTCAGTGGTAGTAATGGCCTGGAGCGGCATAGCCAAATTTAGCTACTGGAGCAGCATAACCGATTTTAGCAATTGGGGCGGCATATTTGGCAACGGGGGCGGCGTAAGCGACGGGAGCGGCGACTTTGGCAACAACAGCCTTGGCGGCGAGAGGTTCACGATGGACGACGGCGTTGAATCCATTGATTGGATCGGCGGTGTATTCGACCGTACGTTTAGTGCCATCGGGGTCTACAAGAGAGTAACTTCCTTGCACTACATCACCATCACGCACTTCGTGTTGACTTTTACTGTCTCCAGTAAGACTGTCTTGGATGTCATATGCAAAATTGTATTGTGGATGCGGGTCGTAATCGTCCGCTACGACAGTCTTGGCGACGGCGACAGGGGCGGCAACTTTAGCGTAAGCAGGAGCAGCATATCCATGGTAGGGTGCACTGATGACTCCGGCACGGGCAACGGCCACGAGGGCGGCAAAAGCGAACAACTGAAATGCAATAATTAATTGTGAGAATGATGTTGGATTATTTTGTTTATACCTTGAAAGCCATATTAGTTTGAGTGTTGTTCATGTTATGGTTTTGGTATGGTGCTCAAGAGCCTTTTATACATAAGTTGGTCGGTACCTAATAATGGTGCAACTCTTTAGACACGCCCTTGCAAAGGCCATTCTATGTTGCAGACAATAACGTTGCGGTCCTTTCATTTGCCCGCGAGGGTAGCTGCCCAATTATTCAACGTTAGAATGATCTCACATTGTAATAATTCAACACCTATAACTAGATCCGGCACGTTTCTAGCACAAATTTAACTGAGAGACAGCTTAACCCCGGATTGTCTTAATTTCACCCCGAATCGATAGAAATTGCTGCGGTCCGTTAGTTTATCTACATTAGGAAGCCATTACAATGGACCATTACGTCCTGATAATATTCAATTTTCAGGAGGATGCCGCCAGGAATAGAACCGTAAAGTACTTTTTTTTCACCGGTAATTAGTTTTTTTACGGTTAATTTTTTTTTAATTTCGCCAAGTCCTGAATTATCACAAAGTAGACTAAAAAATTTGCGACATTTCCATTCTACATGGTCAAAGAAAGTGGACTAAATAAAACCCATCGACGTAATCGTCAAAGTTACTCATACAAAATGCGTCACTGAACTTGCCGTAGCATTTCTAGCATTTTTACTTTCATAATAACACCTTTCCTAATGCGACGAATAGAAATTATTCAACGTTGCACAAACGCTATAGATATTAGCATTGACTTGAATTGCTCACAGTGCCAATTTTTTTAATGTGCACCAAGTTTTAAACGTTTAATAATAAATTAGCTTTTACTAATGGGACGGTGTGCGTTGGGGTTCTGACATATCTCGGATTTCTCTCCGGAAAATTGACCGCTGTTGACACAAGCGATTCCACTAATGGAACAGCGACAACTTGTTTGACTAGCGGCAACTGAGCAAATTATTTTAACGAAGGGGTTGAACCCTTAGCTTTTCTTGCTGATTCTTTCACGTTCGACGTGATTGCCTCACGTTAGGTCAAGATCAAGGTATTGGGAGTTAATTGAGCGTTACAACTTTCAATCCTTTTTTATCAATCTCACCACAAAATAATTACGGAAAAAGAATCTGTCGCACAATTTTCAATTAGAGTCTAGGGTGACTGTTCGGGCGGTCCTCTGTACCTGCCACCCTTATAGGGTGGGGGTTGTAATACATTTTATCTGTATCTGACGAACAAGTGTACGAGCAACACGTATCCTAAAATATAAGTATTAGTTATAGCAAACAGTTTTTCATTATTATCAACATTTGGTCCTTCGAGCAAACAATTCAAGACAAAACGGGTACCCACCAAACAACGCGTCCCAACAGTGACAAACAATTAAAAGAGCCAAAAGCAGCGAAGAGAATTGAAGAAAAATTTACCCGGGATCGAATACTGTCATAACAACATGTTGACAAATTCTTCGACTATTCGCACTTACCCTTGCGACATTGACCGTAGTTTACGAGGACAGACAAATTAAATGAAATAAAATGGAAAATAGGTTATATTGAAAAGAGTCAAGAAAATGCTATAATTAAAAGACCTTAGAAGTTAAAGGGAATTTTGTCAAGTAATGACTTTGTGTACCTTTAGGACGATATATAAAAGTGAAATTGGAGGAATTTAACAAAAGGGCTTAAAAAAGAGTTACCTGTAAATGAAACGAGGTTTATGTGACGGGGAGACAAGAAAATTAGACATGGATTAGGTGTTAAAAGCAACAAGAGAATAATAGAGAAAATTGTACAAACCATTTATGTTAAAGGAAAGCGCTTACCTTATCAAAGATATTTATGCTAATTACGAAGGATTTAATAAAAGAGAATATTACGTCGTTGAAAGTAACGAGAAACGCTGGAGAACTTCGACATTTATTTTAAATTGGCGAAGGAAAATCTAAAATAGTGTTTTCTAATGTTTTTTTTTGTTTTTTGTAATAATGATAGAGAATTTTTGCTAGATCTAAGTTAAATCAATAATTAATAATGTAAAAAGCATTGTCCGTTAATCCCAAAGTGGACTTTAAGCAGTATATCAGCAAATTGTTATAGGTAATTTGTTGTTCGATCTGTGTCAATATTATCTTGTTTGCACGAGTAGTCAGGCTGTTGGAGTTTAAACCAGTTATTAACCCAATATCCCCAATCATGAACCTATTCATAGACCGGAAGTAAATTACCTAAATATACTTGCCGATTGTTTGATAATGATATTGTTTCCTGTATGTGAATGTAATGTGAATAATAACATATTATATTTTTTGTTTTTTTATTTATCGTAACCTAAATTACATTGTACAGGCATCAAGTCTTAGTCAAGGAACCTAATAGTAGTGGGCATTAACGTAAGGAACGTGGTAAGCGTTGTAGGCGTTGTAGGCATAGGGGTGAGCGTAAGCGCTGTACGCCACTGGGGTTCCGACGACATTGTGGGCCACGGGGGCGGAGTAGGCGACGTGGGACACTGGAGCGGAATAGGCAACGGTGTTAGCGACATTAGCAACAACCTCGTTGGAATGCACTACAGGAACTGATTTGACGACGGGAGTGGCAATAGCGTGGACAAGAGGACTTTTCTTGACGACAGCGTTGAATCCGTTGATAGGGTCGGCAGTGTAGTCTACAGTACGGCGAGTACCGTCAGGGTCGTTGAGGGAGTATTGTCCGTGGACGACATCTCCGCTGCGGCTTTCAACTTGGCTCTTTGAGTCACCGGTGATGGGGTCTTGGACATCGTAAGCGTAGGAGTACTGGGGGTTGGGGTCATACTCGCTGTCGACTACGGTCTTGACGACGGGAACGTGAGCATAGGACACAGGGGCGATGACTGAGGCCCTGGCGACGGCTACGAAAGCGGCAAGAACGAAAAGCTGCAAGAAATTTTTAATAAAATTTTGTAATTTGTAATTTACGCTTTGACACGCTAATTGAATGAATTTAATGGAGAGATGAAAGGTTGCAATTCGATAATATTGTGTCAGTTTCTCGTCAAATTTAATATTAATTTCGAGCAGAGTTGGCTTACCTTGAAAGCCATTGTGGAATGTTTCGTCTCAAGTGGACTTGGGTCGAATGATACCCAACACACCCGGTAGCTAGTTTATATAGGTCGGGCTAAGTGACTTCTTGCCGTTTTCCTACACGACGATTCTTCACCACGCCCATGGAAGGTCATCTACGTTAGGTTCACACCAAAAAAGTACCGGAAAAAAAAACTGATTTTCTTCGCATGAATAGTTCAGTCTCTTATTCACGCAGACAATACGAGATTGTTACAAACTTTTTTCCATTTTTGTTACCATAATAAAGAATTTTTTTGCTGGCAAAATGCAGACATCGATTATCGAAAACGAAAAGGAAACGGATATTCTCCCAATAAATCAAACTATCAATAAAGCGTTCCAAAAATATGAGCAAAAAACGTGATTCTGAATCGTGACATTGCGACTTATTAAATACAAAAGTAATAATTTAAAAAAAAATTATTTTAAGTAAATAAAATCATCATAGATAAATTTGCTTTTAATGTGACGAAATTTATGGAAAATAAATGATAATTTAATGGGACTAATTAACACCATACTTTTCGCAAACCCATTATGTATGCCTCATTAGTCATTATCAATAATTTATTTTATTTTGTTAATTTATGGTAAAAGTTACTTGCGGTAGATTTTTCAAAATTAAGTTTTCGTTATTGTTAATGTATTTGTAACAATTTGACTTGCAAATGATACATTTATTTTATTAGCATTTTAGTTATCGCCTGATTTTTCTGATTTTATTTTTATGCAAAGATGTTGTTTATGAATTAAAAATTTTCCAGAAAAGTTTCAACATACAAAATTTGTCTGAAAGAAACACAATTATTTTAGTTTTAGATTGCAATTAAAGTTGTAGTATAGTAGTACAAAAATAAGCTCTATATTATAATGACCGTCTAGTTGGCCCTGTCATATCTACTCCGTACATATAATGGTAACTCTTTTGTGAAGAAAGCTCTGATAAAATAATTGGTTCTTTGAGGAAATGAAAGAAAAATTCATTACGATCCAGAAAGTACACAGAGTGGAAAAATAATTAAAAGACGAACGCGAGTAATTGAAGTTTTCTTAATTTATTGCTACCAGACGACAGCTTGAAAAACAGGGTTGATAAACTATTCTAATTTATTTTTATCACTATCTAATAAAAGAGTTGACATTTTCAGATTGTTTATTTCGTTATAAAACTGTCACTTTGCGCATATACGATCTCGTTGCTTTAATTTCACTATCTAGTCAATCTAAACAAAGAAAATAGGTTTTTTTACGATTCTGCGGTTATAGTTTTGATATATGTAGTAAAGTTGTAGCCCCGAAGCTATATATGTCACACGATATTAGGTCTTACCAAGGAAGTTAACATTTATGAAGTCGATTTTTCATGTTGTTTTTATCCATACGAAAGCACTAAAGTACCGGTGTTTTTCGTTAATTTTACGGGGTGTAAATTATTCAACTTTAAAGTCTTTCCTTACATTGAGCAACAACACTCGCACGCCTGACATTAACTAAGGAAGCGAATATTTTATTTCATAATAATATAGAGTACAATAAAATTAGTATGCAGACACTTCATCCAATTACCAGTTCAATAGTCTTGTCGCCTATAAAAGCTCGCAACAATACATTTTCACTATCAGTTATCTATTATCACCCATCGTCATGACTTTGATGGTAAGTCTGTAGGTGTAATTTTAAAGTGACACTTGATTTATTTTATGTCACAATCGCAGTTCTTTATCTTCACGACTCTCATCGCTTTAGCCAGGGGTGGACTCATCGCGGCACCTGTCGCTCCTGTTGCTAAATTTGTCCCTAGTCCTTTATACTCGTTTGCATATGACGTGAAGGATTCGCTAACAGGTGATTTTAAAAGCCAAGTTGAAACTCGGAGTGGAGGAGTCGTTCGAGGACAATACAGTGTTATCGATCCTGATGGTACAAAACGCATTGTGGATTACACCGCCGATCCTATTCATGGTTTCAACGCTGTTGTCAGGAAAGCTCCTATCGTAAACGTGGTTCCTCCGGTAGTGGCCCCAGCTCCGGTTGTACCGGCACCGACCTTAGCCAGAGTCGCTCCGGTTATTCCCAGACCAGTATCATTTTTTTAAATGTTCCCTAAATATTTAAAAGCTGTTCAGTATTGTATTTATCTATTAAGTACCTATTGTCTGTGTTATTTTTATACAATAAAAAGATTATTTTAAAATATTCGTGGCTTTATATGTACATACATATACATAATTAATAATAGTTAATTATGTATTAATAATAATAATTAGGAGATTATGACATGAGGAAGCCCGAGGAATGAGGGCTTTTAAATTCCCGAGAGTCATAATCGCCAATTCAGCTAAAATTTGTGTCCGTGCAAATTTTAGTGTTGTGTAGAAAGTTAGCTCTTTTGATGTTGTTAAGGTTACTGTGCTTATTTAAAAAGCACATCATTTTTCGAAATAAACGTTTCTGAAGCAGAAAGCATTTATTAAAAAGACATTTTACAACAATTTGAAACTTCTCAGGGAAAACTGACTCCCCACAAATCAAAGGATTTGTATGTGAAAGAATATGACAAGTTTTGATACCATAGTTTGAATAATTAAATCAACCGTTGCTTGCCGGATTTTTGACAGATCTGTGCCATAAAAAACAATTTATGCCCTCATTTGGGGGCGTATTATTATTATTATTAACTAATATAGGTCCGTTTTTTTTATTATACCTATACGTGTGGATCAATTAATAATTCGAAAGACATACTTATGGCTATCTCTTTTCAACATTTGTAAACAACCGTGTTGCTCTGTCGCTACGTATTTGTGTAAGGTCGGTCACGCTATTTACCTCACTTTAACAAATGCGATTAAAGTAACACAGGGCTAGTGACGTATGTACATACGTCAAAAGTGTACCTTGCTGTCAAGTAGGACATTTGTAATTTCATTTTTAATGTGGAAAACTGTTTTCAGGCTAATATTTATACCCTCTACATTATCATAACATTCATAACAATCGTAATTCAAGCCCTATAAAAACCTAATGCCAGGGAGAAATTTTAATTTTTTTAACTTTAGTACCAAAAAGGTAGAAAGAGGTCAGGTCGTCTTTTTGATTCACACTTCCCCACCAGCAAATAATAAAAAAATAGACTTTACGTTTAGGTACACAAGAAATTTTAGATGTTTTAAATAAACACTTCATACATAAACTGAAGCACGTAATTAGTGCAAAATTATTTCAACATGGTATATAAACTAGGTAGGACTTAAATTTTTATACAAGTAACGTAAATAAAATAATATCTAGTTGTTGGGAAAGGAAGCTTGAAGAAACTACATTTTAAATCATTCAAGAAGCGTTGTTTATTTATTTTTCTAGTACATTAAGTCTAAATAAAATTCTGTTAATATTAATGATATTTTACAACCCAGGTTTGTAAGCTTTTATTTCACAATTATTATTTTTTTTAATAAATATAAAATACTCCTATCTACATAATACCTGTGCCAAAGCCATCGCCACCCTAGCAACGTTGCAATTGCGCATTTTGAGGTGAAATATGTCAAAAATATTTGATTTCTATGTAAAAAACTAATTTATGTTACAACTGAACCCGACTGATAAATTTTGAGCCAAGAAGCTCCATTCTTTCATACAGAAGAAACATCGTGAAAAGTGACAGCAATGGGGATGGCTGTGGCACGACATAAACATCACTTATTATCATCAAAGGGATAGAATGCCATCACATTTCGGAATAATACTATAGTGATTGTGCATACAAATCTAGCCAATTTTCACATTTACACAGAATGTTTTAGTTAAAAATTGATTTTAATCTTTCGAAATGTAAAAAGGAAAGGAATGCATTCGCCTTTCAGAATTTACCAACCTTCACCACAGAATTTCATTAATTTAACGTTTTGTTTATTTTTGAAGCGGTGTTGCAAGCTGCCAAACTGTACAAATTAAATTTACTTTAAATTTTTCACTAGACACACATTTCACAAAAATGCATTATTTCTAACTGTAAATTGTTGTGCACAATGGGCCTTAGATGCTTCAGTGCGCAACTCGCTTAAGCGGGCAGTTCCTGATTACAAAAAAATATATAAATTACAGCTTAGGTATATTAAACATAACAGTTTATTTGCGTGTTTTTGACGTGTAGTTATAACTTTTAACTATCCCAATCTTGGGTATCTTTAAAAATTTTCTCATAGTATTTCAACGCCTCAAACTTTTTTCCATTTATCCAACTTTTTATGTTTTATGATTTACGGGGACCCAATTGTGAACATTAAACTACCACCAACTTGACGCGAGTACTTTTTAATTTATAATTTTAAAACAATGGGTATTATCGAGCATTTCCAAGTCGAGCGTTTCCAAGATCAAAACAATAAAATATAATGGTTCAGTATTTTATTTAAACGATAAAAATATGTACATTAGGCAAATAACAATTTTATAGGCAGGCGAATTACTTAAAGGCAGCGTAGGCGAAAGGAGCTGCCACTCTCGCAAATCCAGCAGGATACGCGTAAGGAGCGGCAGCGATCGCAGGAGCGGCTAGTCGGGCATAAGCAGGAGCAGCAACGATTGGAGCGGCCAAAGGACCCGCCACCCTGGCTAAAGCAGGCGCAGCTGCAACTCTGGCAGCGACTACTGGAGCAGCAGGAGCTGCAGCTACTATCGGAGCAGCGGGAGCAACTCTCGCGGCTACAACAGGAGCAGCAGGAGCGACTCTTCCGGCTACGACAGGAGCTGCAGCTACTCTAGCTGCCACTACGGGAGCAGCTTTTGCAACAACAGGAGCTGCGACAACTTGGGCTAAGGGAGTCTTGCTCACAACGGCATTAAAACCGTTAATAGGGTCAGCGGTGTAGTCCACGACTCGTCGAGTGCCATCTGGTTCGACCAAACTGTATTGTCCTTGAACGATATCTCCGTTGCGACTTTCCACTTGACTCTTGGAGTCTCCAGTTAAGGCGTCTTGAACGTCGTAAGCGAAGGAGTATTGAGGATTAGGGTCGAATTCGGCCACACGAGCTGCAACTGCTACTGGAGCTACTGGTGCACCTACAACTCCGCCCCTGGCGACGGCAACGAAAGCTGCCAAGATGATGAACTGCACAGAAAAAAGTCCGTCAGTATTTTTATTGGAGTAAATGAGATTAACATCCTCGAAGGGGGATGATTCTACTCGGCAGCACTTTTTCACACTTGGCACTAATTTAATTACACATCCTAAAGCCCACGACACTTTGCACTTTTTGTTTACACATAAGACCTACCTTAATTGCCATGTCTTCTAATTTACGCTACAGAGGAAGATCGACTGATGTATTGACTTGAGTTGTGGGCGGTTTATATACTCAACACATTAAAATTTCACAACGTGTCAACTTCTATCTATGCATACTAACTATTTATTTGGTAACCTGGAATCATAGAACTTTCAAGGCACCACTTTATGTAGTATTTAAATGAACGATGTTTTCGTAGTAATTTATTATCTGCGTTCTTTGTTACAGTTGATTTTGCTCGTTCTGTTAACTCTTGCACTTGTTAGATATTTCTTTTGCCAGCTCCCAGTGTCTAAAAAGTTAATTAAATGTGATCTTAAACTTTCTTCTGGAAATTAAACAGCAAGTGAATTAATTGTTCCTCTAGTATTTTACGTAACAAAGTCTCAATGGTGTAAATATCATAGTCATACGCGGTCATCTACTGCACATAGTAACTTATATCTGTCTCCTGACGATTTATAGTCATTCTTAACTCAGGTAATTTATTTATCAGTAAAATGGGATATGTTCAGCATTGTAAGTTACGCTCGACGACGGCTCTTACTGGGGTAAAAAAGGAGTATTGCTTCCGCCACCCTTCACTAAAGTAATATCGTTTATCAACCCTTACCCTGTTTATTGACAGTTATGTTTGTTGTCCACAAATTTCTTTCGCAACACACATTATTGGCTAACTGATAGAAAACGCAGTTGCGTGACGAAGCTGCTTTGTATTCAGATTATTGGATGAAATCGCGTCCGGAATGAACAATTATCGAAGAAACCCCGAATTTATTACATAACAGAAGAGATGACGACGAAAAGATGACGGCGTTAAAAACAGATCTGGAACCAAAAAATGGATCGATTTACAGTCAGCTGGTGGTGATTGACCTCTTCAAACTATAATATCAAAGACATCAACTAAAAAGATTTGCATGACAAAAAGCTTCTTTTGGAATATGAATCCGGAAGAGATTCGTAATGTGACACACTGCAAGCAAATGGGGAAAATTTCATTAAACATTTTGAGGTTGCCCTACTTTACAGATTTACATCAAACCTTATTACTTTTTATGCATGTTGTAATTATAATACTATTGAATTAAGTCTATTATTTGAGAAATCTTCATGCGAAACACTAAATACATACTTTTGCACGGACTATTTTTAATTTACAATTAAGAGTATCTAGTGTTTCAAGATATTCAAATTCACCACAAATGTAGTTCTTGATTTTTCGCTTGTATCAATATTTTCATTTTTAAAATAAAATGAAAGGGTATTCCATAAAATAACACACTGTCAGAAAAGGTTTTTGTTTAATTAGGTACAACGAAGTATTTCAGAATGAACAGTTTCAACATCTTTTATAACGACTCAATAATATGAATACAACATGATATTTTCTTAATCAAATGATTAAAATATCGTAGAAGCTGGGTTGGATCTTAACCATGTTCTAATTTAATAATAATAGTTGACGGAAAATACATTTAAATATTTTATCATAAATTAATATAATTTATTTAGATAATAGCAGAGATTTGGGACTTGCGTAACTGGACGATATTTTGTGATAGAACCACATTTTTGTTGTGTCACTGGAACAGAATTATGGTTTAAATTAAAACAAAGCTAGTGGATTGTTTTGTCTATTACGAACTATTGACAAAGCAATAAATGAACAAATTTTACAAATAAATGAAATAATAATTATTTCATACCATTTGATAAATTGTGATGCATAAATTATTCTTCGACACTGTGAAAATTTACGGTTTTTCTCAAACAATTGTTTGGTATTTCTCAATACGAAACGTCAGATTATTTTGTTCAATTTAAAGCAATTTTATGTCTTGTTGAGTCTAATTCGAAAAATAAAATGTTGTATTCAACTCGTCTTCGCGTAAATCGGTTCATTTATTCCACCTCGTAGATGATAAACTACTCGTTAACACTCTAGGTTTAAAAATCCACTCGTGAAATAAAGCGTCCGATTTTACACTCAAACTCGTCGAATAATCATTTGAAAAAACACATACAATTAAAAATATAATAGAGAAAGTTTGAACTATCTTGTTTGCATTTATGAAGATTAAAATGTAAATTCTATGTCATGTGCATTAATTTGTTTTCTGTCATAACAATGTGCGAAATGTACCTGAAAGCACCTGTTAAACAGCATTTAACGTTGTCTCGAATATGTAATTTTATTTTGCAAGTCAATTTTAATTCAACTCACTCTAGACAACGCCTATTTTTACATTTAAATGTGAGAAAATTGAAATTTAAACTTAATGATTTGATTAGAATCCAGTTTTACCAAAACGTTTCATTGACTCTATCGAGTTACCTTGAGAAGAATCTATTTTACAACCGTCTATTCTAATTTATGAATATAGAGGTGTGGTCAGCAAAAAATACTCGGGATAAGCAGAACGATAGTCTTCACTGTCGTTTTCTTTTTAACTGTATTTTCGGCCCTAGGTACATTACTATTCTACACCTCTTTCCTCCTGAAGAAAGACAATTACTCAAGAACGTGTACCTTTAGAATTAATGAGAATTTTAAAGTGAAATATTCGATGTAGGTACAGACGGGCCACACCTTTGCTTTCTTACATTACCCGACATTGACATACTTAATTAAACACTTGCATTTTCATATCAAGTCTCGTGATCTAGTATTTCGATTTGTGTAACAATTTGGCACAAATGTTTTACTCCTATTAATTAAGTGGGAGTAATTTTTTTGTTGTGACAGATCATCAATTTGTTGGGGTAAAGGGTGCAATTTACTTTCTGAATTTACAGCTGACATTTATTCAATAAACCAATCACGAAATGCTATTGTTGAAAGATTTCGGAATATTAAAATATTCTCTGCTCTGGTGTAAAGATTTACAATATGATAATAAACTACAGTTGTATGGAAATAATGTGATTAGGGAAAATAAGCCAAGTGTGAAATAGTTAAGTTCACGACCATCTGTGAAGTTTTTGTTTATTCCCCAAGACCACAATAAGCGCCATTTGCCTGAAATTAGCTGTATCCAGATCTTGCATAAACTCTCGTTATTCTTATTAACGACGGTACAAAACACAAAAGACCTCCTAATGACTTTAATAGCTTCTTTGTTTTCAACGGAAAAATTAATTTTCTTGTTGTCTTATTACACAAAGAGGAAGCTTTTTGACAAAAACTTGTACAAACGTAACAGATTCTTAGCGAAATTGCTGTATTAACTTTCAAGACTAGTTCGAGGATTTTCAAATGAATATGCAAGAAATATTTCACCGACGCTCCATCTCAACAACACCAACAGTCGATAAAGAAAATTTCCCGGGAATTCCCGGGTTAGAATTTAATTAAATTATACGCCAAACACTTCCAATACCGGACAAAAGCTCTTCCCGGGTTACACACTTAATTACGATCTATTATACAGGTGCGATGGCCGGTTTTGTATTACAATTTAAACTTCACTAAGGCGTTGTATTTACTTCAAGCATGAAGGCGTTCAGAAATTTATTAGTTGTTGCAGGAACTCCATATATCACAAAAAAATATTTTGGGATAATTATCATTTCTAAAAGCGAAATAAATTACAACGTTTGTTGTCTATGACAAACGTGTTTTACATATTTGGTACTCTTGACTTTTTATTTCAAATGTATTTCGTTTATAAAAATTTCATTAACTCACTGCATATATGCGAGTTAATTAAAAAACAGCTTTGATATAAATTTACTAACAAAGAGTTTTCTTCTTTTGTAATATGTTCATATGTGGAATTTACATAAATAAATAAGTCTATGAAAATAATACATGTGATAGTTATTTTTTTTTATTTCAGGTTTTTGCCTTAGTGTGATGTTCATTATCATTTGTAAAGGCTGTTTGCTCCAACGAGTTCATTTAATTCAATGTAAAATCTCAATGCAATAGATTTACTAGTACTAGTAGCGGCAAATATGAATGAATATTGAATTAAATTAACGAAGGTCATCTAGACTGCATTTTGAATAATTACACACTCGTAATTGATTCATGCTGATAGATAGTACGTCACAGCTGAATAACTCTGCTTGTTGAAGTCGATTTATTTTCGTGTAGCAAGAATTTATTTCTTATATTGGTTAAGCTTCATCATCAATTTTCTAATCAAGATGTGACAATCCAATAAATCACACGTTTCGCTTTAATTAGTTGATGCAGTAAAATAGTTAATGAGAATTCTCTGGCGGTCTTTTTTCTTTTAATCCTTGTTAGATGAGTTTCGACTTTGAAGATTGCCAATCTCTACCAACACTAAAACTACTGCTTTGATTAGATTGACATCTAAAAACTTCTAATGACTTGGGATAATTATTACAAATAAAACGAAATTAAGACGGAGAGAACGTTTTATACTGGCGAGAGTGTGACAATAAATTTTCTTCTAGGTTCGATCGATCCAAAGTTAAAATCGCAAATTTGAATTAATTAATATGTATAAAAATTTAGAAATTGACAAAAACATAATTTAAATCGAATTAAGAAAGTCAGATAATGAACAGTAATGATTTTTTGAGTACAGACTTAATTTTTGTTGCGATTTTAAAATTTTTGGTTAATGACTTTGACTTTGAAAACTGAAGAAATATTTTGGTGTTGTGTAACAAGGAAAATTTATTGTGCCGTTTTCCAACGTTATATTCCTATTTATCGACTTGTTCGACGTGTGATTTTTCACATATCAAAGATGAAATCACTGAATTCTTTACAAGAATCGAGCAGATCTAGCAGCGTTATTACACTTTTTCGTTCTCCCGACGCCTTTGATATGTCGTAGACATTTTTTGTGAAAATTGTCTCTTATATGTGGGAAAAAAGGAAATTTTATTTCGATTAATGTTGCTGGATGGAAATTTTTGAAAACATAATTTGTTACCTAATCTTTGCCAATTTATGTGCATAATTCAATTCATCAATTCATCGGTGCTACAAATTAATCGAGCTTGTTTGCATGTGTCCCACCCAAAAAGACGAAACTCGAGCCAACATTGTTTCTGTCCTCCTACAAAAGGTCAAGATTTAATCTAATTCCACCGAAATTATACAACCACATGGGCGTTGATAAGGGTGGCAACATTTAAATGGTGACAGATTCTAGCAATCTT